GTACGAAAACATGGTTATGCATTTTGTGATGAACTTGACTTGTCTGAGTCCCGAATTTCTATCGCCATGTTGATGCGTATCAGAGAGCATGTCCAAGTTTTTCGACATGCAGTCTGGGTCAGACAGGATTGGCCGATCTAATCAATCTCTGAGATCCCAACGAACGAAGTTGATGCAGGTATGGTTTCAAAGGAAACCCTGCTGAACCAGGATGCTGCAGCTGCCGAACCCAGATCTGAACCCAGATCTGAAAAGGTGCCAAACTCATCAGAAACCATGAAAAAACACCTGTTGTTTTTTTGTAAAGCCCAGGTACCCTCCGGTGTCATCAAACTTAACTTGGCTGGAAACTCCCTTCGAAATGGAACAATTTCCAGCCAGCCATTGTTTGATTGCCAAAGGGTATCCCATGATTTTCGGCCAAAGAATCCCTGCCAGCTTCGACGATCGGAGTTGCTGAGGTTTAAAACCACCAGAATGATGGGGTTACAACCCACATTCTGAATAGTTTCAAACCCATCTACATCTGGTAGTGGTTGTAACATGTTATAACCACATACCTGGTAGATTTCCCCTAGTCGAGGTGAGTTTCTTTCACCGGCTGCAACCCCTGTTTTGGCGGGGTCAACCTGTTAGTTGGGGGATGGTAAGCACCAGCTGCGTGGCCAGCGCGTCCTTTCCCTTCACCAAGCAGCTGAGGAGATGAGACTGAGTCGAGCGAAGGCAGAGAGCTGTGGTGAATGTATATGAGAAAAACATATATACCAGTGTATATATATATATACACGGCACGTCATATGTATGACATATCGCGCTTATATATATAGTATAATGCACATGTGTATATATATATATATATGTACATATAAATATATATATATATACAATATGTACACATATATATATATATACATATACATATACATATATATATATATGTACAAATATGTGTGCACAGGCATATAATATATATACATATGTATATGTACATATGTATATAAATATATAGATACACATATGTGGTATATGATACATATAGGATCATATCAGTATCATATTCAGACCTGGTTGGTAGGTTCAAGCCTTAGATTCTAAACCATTCTAAACCTATGAGCTTTGTATGAGGGGCTCAGGAAGGAAGGATTGAAAAGGACAAATTATCGAGGAACTGAGACAGTGAAATGCTGTCTGGCTGGGAATATCCAGAACATTGAGCCTACTCCCGGCCATGAAAAGGGAAGCCTTCACTTTACCACAGCAAGGCTATCTTAATGTTCAAAGGTCTTTCAAGAGGTCACGAATAGAATAACCCCTGGCAAATCACCATTTCCGAACATTTCCCCAATTCCATGATTATCATTTGCGGGGTATAACATGGTATAACCTCATTCTCAGACAGGCCTTGATTTATGCAGTCCAAAAAAAACCGAAAGTAATTACAATGTACATCGATGTAGGACGATGCCTTGATTGTGTCCGGCATCCCAACATGATCAGATTTTCGTGCGTCGCCCGCAAGTAGGATGTGATTCATCAATATGAAAGTCTGGACCAGTCCTAGAAAACGCTATGGATTGGACAATCTCGTTTAACATGCTCTATTGCAGGCCAATGTCCCCTACATTCTGCAAACCTGCCGTTTCCCAAACTCATGATATATATATATATATAATGATATTATATTTCAATATACTACGTCAATGTTGAGAGGTTTCTCAAACAAAATCATTTATATATAGGTTGATGACATCTTAACATTTTGTGTATATGGGGGGTGTCCTAAAATTTGTTATTACCAATATGGATGGTTTATAATGGAAAATTTTATAATGGAAAATCCTATTGAAATGGATGATTTGGAGTGATCCATTTTAGGAAACCCCCATATAGTCCCATATAGATGTTTCTAACAACTCAATACAGCCGTTTGGTCGATACACATTTTATAGTGTTCATCCATGGATCATCATAAAGGTTATGCATCATCCCCTCTAAAACTGGGCTGCCCGGTCTGCTTCTCTTTCTTCTTTCGACACCTGGCAGCCACTCAAGCAACCATAGCCTCTGGTAATTAAAATAACCATAGAAAATAACAATGGAATAATATGATATGCAAATCATCTCTATACAAATAGATAATTTCCATGGCTATGATATGCTGAATTACCAGTGCGTAAGAGCGACAATATGTTTTGATTTTGACCATTTAAAAACAAGATCAACTCCGGGTGTTGGGGCAGGCCTTAAACCTGCATTTTGGGGGGTGCCACAAAGAGGGGGGTACCCTGGGATTTCTGTGACCAGCTGAAAAATTGGAAAACAACGAATTCTCCATGGTGTCACCTCAATTTTGATGTAAAACCAAGGGCCCCGTGCTAAATTGACCCGTAAATTACCATGATTACTTGACTTGGTTTGAATCCCTCCCCAATTAACCCAACAACAAAAATGGGTGACCTACAATTTGTGCGGTGAAATATCAATATTATTGATGGTTTTCTAGAAATGTGGCGCCTCACAACCGATTTGCTTCTTGAAAAACCAGGGAATTGGCTGACTCGCCGCCCTGCAACTGTCGACATGATTTTTTCTGCATTTTCAAGATGAAGTGCTGAAAACCCAGTGCTTTCTACATGTTTATTTTTGGAAGGCATTTAGAGAATATCATTTTGTACTGCGTGGGCCACTTCGAAATGAAGAAACTTGTATCTTGTGCAGGCGAGACAATCTTTTTTTATCTTTTTTTTACCACGTCGGGGAAAAAATGGAAATGCCTGTTGATCTAAATAATCCCATGCCCAAACGGCTTAGAAGCATCTTTTCTCAACTCTGCCACAAGCATTTGGGAAGTTCTTCCAAGATGGAACTTGTGATGGAAGTATTATGCCTCCACTGGAAGCTCCGCGCCCGCTTCCAACGATTTTCGTTGGTTCCTCCATGGGATTTGTCTTTTTGGGCAAAAGCGATTGGTTTCCATTTTGTCAGGCGTTTTGGTATGTGCAAGCGTAGCAACATATTCTACCAACGTAACATCACACTGATGTTCGTGGTTCGCGCACGTTAACAACATCTGCAAGCGTAGCAACATATTCTATGAACGTAACATCGAACTTGTGTTCGCACACGTCAACAGCATGTGCAAGCGTAGCAACATATCCTATGAACGTAACATCAAATTTATGTTCGCGCACGTTAACCACATGTGCAAGCGTAGCAACATATTCATTTTTTACGGTAGCATGCCAAAGGACGTTTTTAGCCTCACCCCACCCCAACCCATGTCCAACGTAGCATCATGTAGGTGTGCAAGTGCCAAGGAACGCTATGAGCCCACCCCACCCCAACCCATCTCTAACGTAGCATCATTTTGCGTGCACGCCACCCCACCGTACCATGACCGAATCATACCTTGCACAACACCGAAGTATACGACAGCAAAAAATAACAATTCTGGGGCACCGTGTCAGCCGATAGCCAAACACAACTGGCCCCACTGTCACAACCATAGCCTTGATTCGGGGTTAAGTTCGCTGAAACAACCAGGGGTTGGTGTGTTCTCGTGGCATCCGGGCCATGTCCACTGCGGTGTGTTCCACACAGTTCTCTGGGCAAATGATGATTCCATATGATCTGGAGGTTTCCTAAAATGGTGTACCCCCAAATCATCCAAAATTAGATTATAAACCATTGTTGCGTTGAAACCATTTGGATCCCATGGTTTTGCGGATCTGCCATTTAACATATTTTAACAACCCCCATTTTGAGACTGGAAATCAATCATCTTTGGGAGACTCCCTCAATCCTGACAATCATCTTACTGGGTTTGGCCGGGTTTGGCTGGCCAAGTTTCGGCCGCTACAATGGACCCAGGTAGTTTAAAAATATCCATGGTAGATCAACAATTATCCCGTTCCCATGTTGGATAGCAAAGCCATGCAAAGCCTTATGTCTATGTTGGCTCTACTTGTATTTTGCTCATGGCTGGGGATGCCTGGTGCCTGTGCAGGTGACACCGCATGAATTCAGTCTCGGACCTCTCTTGCTTGCTGCATGCTGCCTTGTTTTCCATGCTGCCTCATGATATAGGAAGAAACTTGCAGCACACCTAGGTTTTTCTGCGGTAACTTTTTCGGTCGGCATCCCAATGTTTTCTTGGTGGCGCTTTTAAAGGCACGTCTTTGCTTCTCCTTAAGAATCTGAGATGCCATTGTGATGGAGAACCATCACCGTGGGTTTCTGACATGACCCTGGGCTTCGCTTTGACAGAACCAGGGCCAAGGCCTGTCATGCCAGGTCCAAGCGGGCCTCTCTTGCCAGAATCCTCGCGTGCCAATTGCCAAAGTTTCACACGCTTTGTCATTGTCCACTTCAATTTCTGCGTCCCTCGGATCCACAAAGTTCAACATGTACGATCTGGGCCACTTCTCACTCAGGTGGCAATGGACACCGGCTTTAATCCATGGTCCCGCGGCTGTTGCATGACCTGCGTCAAGGAGCTGACCAGAGTGGGACGTTGAGTTTTCCTTTCACCTGGGCAACACGGATGACCCACTCCTATCAGCATGGCCTCGCGTCGACGCGGGTTTGTTGAAGTGGTGGCCAGCGATCGTTTGATGACAGACTGCCACCGCGAACCGTGCCAAGGAAGTGACGCTGACAAAGGTAGCTCTTTCAAGCTTCTCTGCTAGTTCGATCTGGTTCACCTCACGTTTGAATCCACAAAGACGAGCTGGAACTGCATGCAAACCACGTGGAACTTCCGTTTCGTCTTCTCATTCTTAAGATGACCAGACCATCCAGCCTTCCATTGAGGGCCCACTTGTCCCTGATGATTTTGTAGCGGTTGTCTAAATCTTGGCCAGCATGCTTGAACTCCACGGGCAACCATTTCATCCCTGGAGGAATATTGTCATATGACTGCCTTGGTGCCAGCGGCTGCCAGCAAGGATTACATGGAGATTGAGAAACAAAATGGGCACAGAGGTCGCCATTGCACCCATCTTTCCGCCATTACTTTGGTGCAAACAGTTGGCCATCATATCCGGTGCACAATAGCGCTGCCACCGGACACTCTACCTTGCAAATGACCACACTAAAAAATGGGGGCAAAATGCCTGCAGAACCCCATCCGCCATGGATTTTTGGGCGACATTCGGGGGATTGCTGTTGAAAGTCTTCAGTACATCATTGATCCGCTGAACTGGACTGGATCTAGCCACTCTGCAGGTGCGCCGATCATGGCTGCACCAATCAGGCTCACCTAGCCTGATCTGAACCTAAAAATAGCGGGTAGAAGATGCCATAAGAAACATGGACAGCGCCAGGACCTCAACTTTAATTCCAGCTATATCCCATTGTTAGCTATGGTTGATTATATCCCCAATATATCCCGGTTTTAAAAGCAAAAAAAAAAAAGCAACTCTCCCACGCAGCACATGGAGGTCTGATACCTCCGCTGGCAGCTTCTTGGGCAGCTTCGCGTTGCGATAGCGCAAGGGCTGCCGCATGAACTTTAGCGCTGCCTTGCCGCGGCGTGACTGGAGCCGTTCAGATGGACATCAAATAGGACTTGAAACCGTCAGTTTGAGGATGTCAATAACTCCTGTCGTATCTAAGTGTAAATTCATCAAATAAATTAATCTGTAGAAATCTATTGAATCTGAATTCAAGCCATAAACAGCGGGTGCAGATTCTTTTTGTTTTTATTGTTTTTTTTGCTTTTCAGTCTGGGGCACTTTTCCTTGCTATTTGCTACATTTTGGAGCAAAAACCTGTACTTTGCTGAATTTTGGAGCTAAAAATTGCCATTTGCACTGTTCATCGATTTTTCCATGGTGTTCATTGATTTACCCAAAGTGTTCATCGATTTTTCTATAGTATTCATTGAGTTTGCCATGAGTTCAATTGATTTTTCCATGCAGAACATGCACCTGGTGAGCGTGTAGAATGTAGGTTGGGGCACAACCGTGTTGGGTCTCAATAGTGGCATTGGATGCTATCATAGTGTTGGTTTAGGGTTGGTTTAGGGTTTATTTAGGGTTGGTTTAGGGCCATTTAGGCTTGGTTTAGGGTTGGTTTAGGGTTTATTTGGTGTTAGTTTAGGGTTTATCCAGAGCTATTTAGGGATGGTTTAGGGTTTATTTAGGTTGGCTTAGAGATAGACAGATAGACAGACAGACAGACAGATAGATAGATAGATAGATGGATGGATTAGATAGAGTAGATAAATAATCTAGATAGATTAGATATATTGGATAGATTAGATGGACAGATAAGATTAGATTAGATTAGATTAGGTTAGATTAGATTAGATCAGATAGATTAGATTACAGTAGATTAGATTAGATTAGATCAGATTAGATTAGATTAGAATAGATAGATAGATAGATTAGATTAGATAAATAATTTAGATAGATTAGACAAATAATTTAGATAGATTAGATGATTTGGTAGATAGATGAGATTAGATAAGATTAGATAAGATTAGATTAGGTTAGATTAGATTAGGTTAGATTAGGTTAGATTAGGTTAGATAAGATTAGGTTAGATTAGGTTAGATTAGGTTAGATTAGGTTAGATTAGATTAGGTTAGATTAGGTTAGATTAGGTTAGATTAGATTAGGTTAGATTAGGTAGATAGATAGATAGATAGATAGGTAAAGCATGGTAAAGCCACAAAAGCCACATACCCTCAAAAGCCACAGAAGCCACAAAAGCTACAAGGCCATTCTGGAAAACAAAAACAAAAAAAATAGCCCTCCACAGCCAGCCGCGAATCATGAGGATGTTCACTGTAAAATTCAAGATTCAACCATGACATGTTTTTCCCCACCTGCCAGGTGACGGTCTCTAGATTTTATCAGAGTTATTTCCTTCTCCTTCTCCTCCTCGTCCTGCGAGCTCTACATCTCAGTGGACACTGCCGGACCTCAAGCGCGAGCTCCAGATCTCAATGGGCACTGCCGGACCTCAAATGCCAGAAAGATTGCCAGAATGAATACCAAAATAGGTGCCAGAAAGAATGCCAGAGTGAATGCCAGAAGAGAATGTCAGATATAGAATGCCAGGGAGAATGCCAGATAGAATGCCAGAATAGATGCCAGAAAGAATGTCAGAATAGATGCATCATAGAATATCCGAAAGAATGCCAGATAGAATGCCAAAGAAAATGTCAGAATAGATGCCAGAAAGGATGCCAGATAGGATGTCAGAATAGATGTCAGATAGAATGCCAGCATAGAATGGCAGAAAATATATTATGTCAGAACTATGACAAATAAGGTCACGGTGGGGAAGTAATTTAACACCACACTAGGGGATTTTTCAGGAAAGTTAAGGATCAAACGAATCGTTGTGTGTTCTTCAATGGCTGGGATTCTCTGGTCCAGAATCGATGGATTTAGCGTTGACTCCAGATTTTCGAGATCAAAGAAAGGATAAATACCATGAGTTGACTATACCATGAGTTTTAAATCAACAAACGTACCATCTGGTTATTGGTTACATTGCCATGGAAAGATCCACCATGCTATTAAGAACGGCATGGCCCATCTATTTCGATTAGGGCCATCGAAGAACCATGGCTATGTTAGTCATAACCAGAGGGTAAAATGATCTAAAGCACCCTGGGGGGAAGCTATTTTCTGCTCATGGTGTCATGGTATCTCCAGGATATTTAGTGGGTCAAATTCCCATAAAAGGGGTGGCTTCCACTCTCACTTTTGTGTCATTTCCATCCGCACTTTTTTCGCAAGTTTCACATGCTTGTCTCAGCATTGATAGGCTAAATCTCTCTGGTCTATGGTGATTGATCTTGTGGCGATTGCCATTTTCCATTTGGGTATTGGAATAGCTGAACCATCAAAAATACCCCGATCCCATCAATCCCATTTTATTATATATTGTATATATATATATACATGTTGGTTGGTTGACCGGTTTCCCTAATATGGGATATGATAATCACCAATCACAAGGTATTATAACTCTTCTTACAATAACCAATCAATGAGGGTATGTTTAATGGCTCACAGCTGGCAAATGGATGTTCATCCCCCCATTCAAAGCGGCTCTGCTCGTTGGTCGAGGGCGCAATTCCCATATTGGATACATCCATAATCCACATGGAACCACTTTGTACAACACCCTAAAAGAACAATCGACCATCTTGAGCTGCTCAGATTTTGTTGGTTGCACCGTCATACCCCAGTTTTGCAGTTCTGAATATATACATCTAAAAACATCAGAAAAGGCTACTAAAACAGTGAATGCCCGATTTATACTATTCAAAAGAGCTATATATATATATATACATCTATATACTTTATGCATGTACTATAACTATATCCATTCTAAGATTCCTGTTTTAAGAAGACAAAAAACGTCATGACAAAAACTGCTGGTGAAATCTGCAGCTCCTCTCGATTGGCGAAGCGGAAGAGGTTCTGGTTGTACTCCACCAAGTGGTAGGCTGATGCCTATCAGATCTAAACCCAACGAAAAGACATCCGATCCGATTGGACATGAAATGGTGATTTTCTGGGTGATTATACATTGAAACTTGTTGATTAGATGGATGTGTTGATATTGTGTATATATATAATGTTGGGTTAGGATTAATAAAACCCCCAAATTAATCATACCCCTTTTCACCGGAAATTTTTGGGCAATACTAAAGTCCTCTACGTGCTGATTTCCCCCCCTAATAATGGAACACTACCCCCGAATTAATCATACCCCTCCGGGATCCCCAAATTTTTGGTAGACTAATTTGCTATTACTCCCTTTTACTTTTTAATTCGGATTACAATTTCCATGAGAAAACCTATGGTAACCCATCAAATTCCTATGGGGAAAGATCAGAAAACTTATAAGATACCATCAGATTCCTATGAGAAAAGATGAGAACACCTATGGTAAACCATCAGATTCCTATGAGAAAAGATGAGAAAACCTATGATAAACCATCAGATTCCTATGAGAAAAGATGAAAAAATGATACAATCAGATTCCTATGAGAAAAGATGAGAAAACGTATGGTAAACCATCAGCCTATGAGAAAAGATGAGAAAACCTATGGTAAACCATCAGATTCCTATAAGAAAAGATGAGAAAACCTATGATAAACCATCAGATTCCTATGAGAAAAGATGAGAAAACTATGATAAACCATCAGATTCCTATGAGAAAAGATGAGAAAACCTATGATAAACCATCAGATTCCTATGAGAAAAGATGAGAAAACCTATGATAAACCATCAGATTCCTATGAGAAAAGATGAGAAAACCTATGATAAACCATCAGATTCCTATGAGAAAAGATGAGAAAACCTATGGATAAACCATCAGATTCCTATGAGAAAAGATGAGAAAACCTATGATAAACCATCAGATTCCTATGAGAAAAGATGAGAAAACCTATGATAAACCATCAGAATTCCTATGAGAAAAGATGAGAAAACCTATGATAAACCATCAGATTCCTATGAGAAAAGATAGAAAAACCTATGATAAACCATCCAGAGTTCCATATGAAAGATGAGATGAGAATACCTATGATACCAACCATCAGATATCCTATGAGAAAGATGAAAAACCTATGATAAACCATCAGATTCTATGAGAAAAGAATTAGAGAAAACAGGTTCCTATGAGAAAGATGAAAAACCTATGTTAAACCATCAGATTCCTATGAGAAAATATGATAAAACCTAGATAAACCATCAATTCCTATGAAAAAAGATGAGAAAACCTATGATAAACCATCAGATTCCTATGAGAAAAGATGAGAAAACCTATGATAAACCATCAGATTCCTATGAGAAAAGATGAGAAAACCTATGATAAACCATCAGATTCCTATGAGAAAAGATGAGAAAACCTATGATAAACCATCAGATTCCTATGAGAAAAGATGAGAAAACCTATGATAAACCATCAGATTCCTATGAGAAAAGATGAGAAAACCTATGATAAACCATCAGATTCCTATGAGAAAAGATGAGAAAACCTATGATAAACCATCAGATTCCTATGAGAAAAGATGAGAAAACCTATGAGAGAAAACCTATGATAAACCATCAGATTCCTATGAGAAACCCATAGGGATCTGATGGTTTATCATAGGTTTTCTCATCTTTCCTCATAGGAATCTGATGGTTTATCATAGGTTTTCTCATCTTTTCTCATAGGAATCTGATATGGTTTATCATAGGTTTTCTCATCTTTTCTCATAGGAATCTGATGGTTTATCATAGGTTTTCTCATCTTTTCTCATAGGAATCTGATGGTTTATCATAGGTTTTCTCATCTTTTCTCATAGGAATCTGATGGTTTATCATAGGTTTTCTCATCTTTTCTCATAGGAATCTGATGGTTTACCATAGGTTTTCTCATCTTTTCTCATAGGAATCTCATGGTTTACCATTCATTTTCGAATCTTCCCTCATAGGAATCTGATGGTTTACCATAGGTTTGCTTATCTTTTCTCATAGGAATCTGATCTTTCCTCAGCCACCTCGCAAGTATGCTCTTGCAACCTGGCACTTTTTTTACTACTGCTACTACTACTACTACTACTCCTCCTGCTGCTGATGCTGCTGCTTCTTCTACTGCTGTTACTACTGCTACTGCTACTACTACTACTACTACTGCTACTGCTACTGCTACTGCTACTGCTACTGCTACTGCTGCTGCTGCTACTGCTACTACGGCTACTACTTCTACGACGACGACGACGTAATTTGATATGCACATATACAAGTGGATCCGGATAAGCCACAACCAAAAAAAAGAGGGCATCTTGAAGGCCCCCTCTATCAGTGCAAGGGCTGTGCTTTCAGGGGGTCGAAGCCGCACTATTGCCAAACACACTGGTTTCAGAGGTTTTTTGTGGGTTGGCTCATCACGTTGGGAAGAGGTGACTCTCTTTCATTGCAAGAGCTGTCCTTTCATTAGGCCGAAGCCGCGCTATTGCCAAACACACTGGTTTCAGAGGTTTTTTGTGGGTTGGCTCATCATGTTGGGAAGAGGTGACTCTCTTTCATTGCAAGAGCTGTGCTTTCATTAGGTCGAAGCCGCGCTGGTGCCAAACACACTGGTTTCAGAGGTTTTTTGGCTCATGATGATGGGAAAAGTTGACTTTTTATCGTTGCAAGAGCCTTTCGTGAGCTGGAGGCGACTACCAAAGGGTTGGGGAGGGTTATTTGGGGGGGTTTTGTTAATTGGGGGGGTTGTTTGGGGGTTTGGCTGCGGGTTTGGTTGGGGGGTTAGGGGGGTGTTGCGCATTGTGTTTTTGATTCCGGCAAACCCCTTCCAGGCCCAGTCAGTGGTTCTATAAAGCCATTTTTTGCCATTTAGGGCAAGCCCCCATGGCATAGTGGTATTGAATAGGCTTTGGGCCGATGGACCCAGGTTCGATTCCCGGAGGGTGCGTCTTGCAGCCCGGGGGTGGCACACAGCGGCTTAGATTCCCGGAGGGTGCGTCTTGCAGCCCGGGGGTGGCACACAGCTGGCTTGAATGCTTGTGTGTTGTGCCTCTTTCTCTGCCAATGTCTTGCTGCTATGTTAGCTACCTTTGCCTGCTTCTGGACATTGCCTCTAATTACTTCCAGTGGCTTTCTTTCATTGCAAGAGCAGTGCTTTCCGCACGTCGAAGCCGCACTATTGCCAGCACACTGGTTTCAGAGGTTTTTTGTGGGTTGGCTCATCATGTTGGGAAGAGGTGACTCTCTTTCATTGCAAGAGCTGTGCTTTCATTAGGTCGAAGCCGCGCTAATGCCAAACGCACTGGTTTCAGAGGTTTTTTGTGCGTTGGCTCATCACGTTGGGAAGAGGTGACTCTCTTTCATTGCAAGAGCTGTGCTTTCATTAGGTCGAAGCCGCGCTATTGCCAAACACACTGGTTTCAGAGGTTTCTTGTGGGTTGGCTCATCATGTTGGGAAGAGGTGACTCTCTTTCATTGCAAGAGCTGTGCTTTCAGTAGGTCGAGCTGCACTATTGCCAAACAGACTGGTTTCAGATGTTTTTTGTGAAGTTGCCATCAATTGGGCAATTAATTATTCAACAACTACATCAACATTGCCTGATCTTTCCTCATCCACCTCGCAAGTATAATATACGTTTGCAATGTGGCAGTTTCAAGACGCCAAAACTGGAAAAAAAAACGCATCCCCCAAATGATCGATTTCTAATTAGAATCTAATTAAAAAATGCTGTTTTTGGGAGCTCAGAAAGGCTACCCTCCTTGAGCGGTGTCCCCCCCACAAATAAAAGGACGCCCCCCCAATTAGTAAACCCCAGCCAGCCGCGATGAGTTTTTTATATGCGTGCTTCAGACTGCAATCAATTAAGCAATGAATTAGTTCAACAACTATATCAACATTGCCTGATCTTTCCTCATCCACCTCGCAAGTACAATATACGTTTGCAATGTGGCTTTCAAGACGCCAAAACTGGAAAAAAAAACGCATCCCCCAAATGATCGATTT